AGAGATAGGAGAAATAGGGAAGCAAAAGCGACACTGTTGGTCCGTCCACCATCTCCAATACTCGTGAGCTATTGACGCCTACCACAACCATGCCTTTTTTTGCTGAGTAAGATTCTTTGCTTCTTTGCTTCATCTTGTTTTGTCTTCCTCGGTTGTCATAACCCAATTTTGGCCCTTTGGCTTTTAATTTAATTTTTACAGGGTTTAAAATGAAAAATTAAAAGATCAGAGATTTATTTTGATGAAAAGTGTGATTTGTCAACTTCTGTAAAAATTAAGGATTACAATGTCCCTTTGTCATTATAGCCTTATCCTCAAGATAATCCTTATCTTCTTTAAGATAATCCTTACCTTGTTCAAGATAATCCTCAAGATAATGATAGTTGTCTGCTTTCGAATTTGATTCTAATTCGAACTTTAAAAAAGAGAATGAGTTTGATTGAAACTTGGTTTCTCACACACAAATGGACTCTGACACTATAAATACAGATGTTAAGGGTAAAGAAAAGGGGAGGGAATGAACCCGAGAATAGAGAATTAACCCAAAAAATAAAAATAAATAAATAAACTCTTAGAAAAATCCATTACGAAGAACCCTAAAAAAAAACACATTTACAAAAAGGAGGGGGGCACGGCCGAATCGTAGAGCAGCTGCCGCTACCCCCTCCCCCACAGTTTTTTCCTTTTATTCCTTAGTCTTAGAACCAACCATAAAACGCCCCTCCCTTGGTTGGCATAGAGGGCTTCCTTTCCTCTTCCCCGTTTGCAAGAACAGAACATAGGGGGGGAATTTCTATCTTTATTTTTTTCTGGCCCGGGACCAAACCACCCCATCAGCAGCAGCAGAGTTGGTTGCCCCTGGTCACGGTAACAATAGAGTTTCATTATCATAATCAGAGTGGTAGCAGCGTGGTTTCCTTCTCTGCAACCCAGTAACGGCGTGCATATCCTTTTAGCAACAATCCAGTAGTGCGACCGGCCTCGTTTCTGCACCAGCAGCCAATCCCAGTCGTCTCCTCACCATATCTCTGCCCCGTTGCCAGCAGCAGCAGTGTTACCTTCTCTGTACTGGGAGCAACCAGTAGCAGGGGTGCGCAGTCATCACCCGTCATTGCGAATTCCTCAGCCACTGTGAGCACGCAAGCCAGCAGCAGAAAAAGAGATCTTCACTTCGGGCATAGGGTACTCCTCCAGCAACAACCTTCTCTTCCCTGCATAGGCTGGCACCGATCTTAAAAACACCAAAGACCACCAGTGAGATGATCATCTTCACGCCACCAAGGTTGTCTCCACCGTGAACAACAAGCTGGATCTTCAACCGCTAGCAGCGCCTAACCGTCTCCCTCAGTTTCGCCTCTAGCTACAGCCACGCCGGCTCCTGCATCATCTAAGAAGCTGCGAAGAAAATGAAAACAGTGAGTATAAAGAGAGGATACGATGAGCAGGGAACGATGAGAATTCAAGGGGAAAAAGGAAACAGAGGAATAAACTCAAAGACAAGGAAACCAAAAGAAAAAATGCAAGCAGAAAACATATAGACTAACATCAACATCACCGTCGTCTTCGTCGCCTCCAGCAGATCAGGTAAGCCATCTTTCTCCTCCCGCTTTGCTTCATTCTCCAAATAAAGGGCACATTGCACTGTTCAAGTGAATTTAATTCACTTGAACAGTGAGCAACACGCGTGAATTAGCTCACGCGTGTTGCTGTGCCCAGGCGAGCCACTGGCCCAGCCTGGGTCTAACCCAAAAAAAATAAATAAAAAAAAATAAAAAAAGCTGGGCTGGGCTGGATCTAACCCAAAAAAATAAAAAAAAATAAAAAAAGATTCTGAATGTGTAAATAAGAAAAAATAATAATTTTTTTTGTTTTTATTCATTAAAGCTAAAGTCCGAATAAAGACTAAAATTTATTTCATTGAACTTTATTTAATCTCGCAAAAAAGTAAAAGTAGGTAAAAAATAAAAATAAAATAAAATTATAAGTTTATTCACTGACGTCAGAGTCAGGAATAAAGGTAATAATTTATTTTATTTTATTGTATTTCTCTTTTACTTAGTTACATAAAAATATATGCATAAGAAAAAATTTTATTTGATCTTTTTATTCA